AAAAAAAAAAAAAAGACAGACTAATAGCCAACAAACACATGAAAAATGCTCATCTCTAATCATCAGAGAAATGCAAATCAAAATCACATTGAGATATCTCATAACCCAGGAAGAATGGCTTACATCATAAAGTCCTGGCATGGGTGTGGAGGAAAAGGAACACTAATACACTGGTAGTACAACTGCAAACTGCAAACAGGTACAGTCTCTATGGAAAGTAGTGTGGAGATCCCTCAGAAAACTAGAAGTAGACCTACCATTTCATCCTGCACTCCCACTATTAGTTATTTATCCAAAGGAAAAAAAGACATTTGGGGACCATTCTAAGTGAAGTATCGCAAGAATGGAAAAACAAACAGTACATGTATGTAATCAATACTCAACACCTACATATTTATATGGAAGCAAAACTCAATGAAATTCAAGTGGGGGGAGGGTGAAAAGGGGATGGGTAAATTCCTATCCAACAGGTACAGTGCACGAGTATATACATAGTACTCATTTTCTAAGGACACACCTGTAACTCTGACATTAACCTTCAATAGCAAACTATATAACTAAAATATATGTACCCCAATACTAATCTGAAAGGGAATAAAATTCTTAAAAGTTACATTAAAACAAAGAATAGTTCTCCAGTGAGAGAGTTTATTTTAAATAAACTATAAATATAATATAAATAAATATTTTTAAATAACATAAAATTTTTAAAAGCTCTGATAGATTATAAGATTTGCAAAATTACAGTACAAATTTATGTGATATGAGGGCTGTCCAAAAGTATCCAGCCACTGTTAATGTAATAATAAAATACAATATGTAGGGCTGGATCATTTCCAGACAACCCTCACATATACACCTTTGAAGGACTATGGAATGAAAGAACTTACTTGTAGGAGCAAACAAAAGTAATGTCATATTTGCCACAGATCCTAATAGGGCTAGATTTGAAGCACTCTGAAAACACTCTAGAAGGGCTGCTGAGCTCAGGTAACCTAAATTTTTAAATGGCTCTGGCTCTGATACTAGCTTGGCTAATGACAGAGTATTCTTTTCTTTTCTTTTTCTTTTTTTTTTTTTTTGCAGTTTTTGGCTGGGGCTGGGTTTAACCCGCCACCTCCAGCATATGGGGCTGGTGCCCTACTCCTTTGAGCCACAGGTGCCACCCTTTTTTTTGTTTTTTCAGAGTATCCTTTTCTATCAAAAGGAGAATATTAACTTAAACTCTCACAGTGTTGTAAGGGTTAAATAAAGCAATACACATAGAGAATTTAGATCACTTAGAAGAAGGCCTTAAAAAGACAAAAAAAGAAAGCAAGAACTTAATAGAATGCCTGGTATATAGTGTGCTCCATTAGTGATAACTTCATTGCAATGAAACAATAAAAACATTATCTGTTAAGAGTACAAGCTCTAGAGCTGGAACACATGGGTTCTTGAGAGGTAAGACCTTGGGGTTGGTTACTGAACCTCTTTGTACATTAGCTACCACATCTGTAACAAAACATAAAAAAAGGTCTATCAATAGTCCTAAAGGACTCCTGTGTGAGGACCAAGTATATTAACAGTGCTTGGTACATGGTAAGCATTCAATAAATTACTATGAGTTTTAAAAAGAAAAAGGATATTTGTTATGTAAAAAGTGGTATCAGCTTTACTACTTTAAGAAACAATAATATCTGATAGCTTTACAATCGCCCCTCTCTTTTCTCACAAAACCAGCATTTCCATTTATGTAATAGTCCATATCAATTATTGTCATAATCATGTCATAGGATAGTATGACATTGTTTTGGAGGCTAAATTTAAAGAGAAATCTTTAGTTTTCTCTTCGTATCTCTTAATAAATGATTTCTCGTTACCCCTGGATTATTGAAAACAATAAATTGATGACTAAAGAGCAGTTAGAAGTGGTATGTAAAGGTTTGGAGGAAAAGAATTATGTTAGAACATAAAAAAAAAAAAAGATCCTTCTTCATTTAATTAATGTATTTATTTTGAGATAGGGTCTTATTATGTTGCTCTGGGTAGAGCATAGTAGGGTCACCACAGCTCACTATAACCTCAAATTCCTGGGCTTAAGCAATCTTCCTGCCTCAGCCTCCTGGAAAGCTGGGACTATAGGTATGTGCACCATGCCCAGCTAATTTTTGTATTTTTTTGTACAGATGGGAATCTATGTTGTTCAGGCTGATCTTAGAAATTCCTGGCTTCAAGAGATCCTCCCACATCAGCCTTTCAAACTACTAAGATTAAAGGTATGAGCCACTATGCCCAACCCCCTTCTTAATTTAACCATGAGTCAGAAAGAGTCTATTTCATTTCACAAGCCCCAAGTATAGACTTGCTTTTGTATAATGTACACCACAAGCAAGCTCAATGCTTCTTAATGATTCTTCATTCCTAGGAATATATGTTCATAATGGTAGGATCAATTTTCTTAAACTTCTGCTGAAAAAAGACCTTTCAATTCCATTTGATAACTACTTTAAAGAAAAATATTATAATACTATTTGATAGCTTCACAGTTTAGAGTTTTATAAAGCCAAGCATGAACACTTACAGTATGCACTTGTGGTGGTCGGTGATGCACTGTAAGTTGAGGTCCTGCTGATCCCAAAGTTAGTCCATTGTTTACAACATATGTAGTTGTTTGAGGCACTCGAACTGTAACACCTACAAAAGAAAATTAAGAAAAAAAATCAGAATTCCATTGTAAACTTGGTGCTACACTGATCAAATACTTGAAGTCAGTGAAGAAATGTTTTCAAAATGTGAAAGGAAAAAATTTCTAACCAAGATATACAAATAGATAGTAGACAGCTTGACAGATTCAGCCAAGCTATCATTTAAATGCAAGAACAAAGAAATTTTCACATATGCAAGCACTCAAAATAAATCTAACTTCCATGACCCCAATTCTCAAGTAATCACTAGTGGATATTTGCCACCAATGAGTCAGAAAAAAAAAGAAAGAGGAAAATGTAAGGTCCACCACAGGGAGAATAAATAAATGGATTCCTAGTAGGAAGGTTATGAATCCTAGAACAGGCTCGGTGCCTGTAGCTCAATGAATAGGGCGCCAGCCACATATACCGAGAATGGCAGGTTCGAGCCCAGCCTGGGCCCGCTAAACCACAATGACAACTGCAACCAAAAAGTAGCCAGGTGTTGTGGTAGGTGCCTGTAGTCCCAGCTATTCAGAAGGCTTGAGGCAAGAGAATCACTTAAGCCCAAGAGTTTGAGGTAAGCTGTGATACCACAGCACTCTACCAAGGGCGACAACTTGGTCTCAAAGAAAAAAAAAATCCTACAACACTGGTTGTGCACCACATATATAAAAGACATACAAGTCGAATGAAACATTTATTCAGAGGACAGGTAAGTTAAAGGTATCTTCATAAAAATCCTTGCTCTCTCTCATCTTTTTAGCCAGGACAGAAAGCTCAAGTCAGTCATCCTTGCTTTGTGTTAACAAAGTTCCTTTCTTTCTCTCCATTACTAACTGATCGGCTGAGGATATTCATCTTCTCTCACAGAAAACTGGACATACATGGGCAACAGAAGTAGGCAATTTAGAACTACATACTGCCCTGACTGTATTTTCATTATCTGCCAGACCCATGCTATAGTTCTGCCAGGTTCCTTTACTGTGGTGAACTTAGTTTCCCAGAAGTCATTCATGACCATGTCAACTAATTTTCCCAGACTAGGCTCTTGGTAAACTCAAGGAAGCTGAAACAATACTATAATTGAGAAATTCTACAGTAGTTTATTTTCTCCTTGAAACTATCATCTAATAATGGCATTATTACAGTTTCTTTAAACAGCTAGATTTATTCTACTAGAGTTTGCAAAACTAATTAATATATATGTCAGTGAAACCTATTTGAGTGGCAAAATCATAAAGAAAAGCACAATGACTAATAGAAAAGGATGGTGATTACCTCTGATGGAAAGGGAGAAGGACACAATTAAGGCAGTACATGCAGGAGGACTTGTAGGATACTGATAAAAGTTCTATTTCATAATCTGATGAAGAGTTAATTGGTGGTTCATTTTATTATTTTTCTTTAAACTTTAAGTTTACCTTTTATATAAACTTGAGTTTATGTGGTATATTCTTTTTTTGGGGGGGGGAAGAGTCTTTCTTTGTCACCTTCAGTAGAGTGCCATGGCATCATAACTCACAGCAACCTCGAACTCTTGGTCTTAAGTGATCCTCTTGCCTTAGCCTCCCTGAGTAGCTAGGATTAACAGGCATCAACCTGGCTTTTGTTTTTAGAGACTGGGTCTTGCTCTTGCTGAGTCTGGTCTTGAACTCCTAAGCTCAAGCAATCTACCCACCTCCCTTCCCAGAGCATTAGGATTACAGGCATGAGCCACTGCCTAGCAGTGCGATATATTCTACTATTGTTAATATATACAGTATATGTTAATATGTACTTATATATTAGTCGCATACATATATAACACTGTATATAATATAATATATAATTGTTACATATAATATGTA